TGGAGCATAGTTATGACAATTTATTTGTTTATGACTAATGGTGTTTTGTGGGCGTGGCAGTGGTCCGATTACGCTCATCTACAATACGTCTTACGGTACCAAGAAACATGTGTACCAAGTTTCATAAAGATATCTAAATTTTTACTCAAGTTACAGCTTGCACAGACGGACGGACGGACAGATAGTCACCCGGATTTCAACTCGTCTCTTCATCCTGATGTTTTATATATACATAACCATATATCTAACTTGATTAGTTTTAGGTGATACCAACAACCGCTAGGTGAACAAAACTATTATACTCTGTAGCAACATGTTGCGAGAGTATAAAAACTAGAAGTAATTGCCGGACACAGATGAAAATATGGTTGTCAACAATCGTTGGCAGTAGAGGATGTGTAGTATTCATATAAATAAATTATGAGTGATTCATAAAAAAGTGGGACAATTGCATTTAATAACAAAGCTTACAGAAGCTACCCAATATAATTAATATATTTTATGTGAGAAGGCAGCTACAACGAAACATTTAGTTTGCGATTGAGAAACAAAAATGATATACGGATATTAAAATTTTGACTGAACTCGAAATTCCCTTCAACTAAATTTTACTTTTTTTTTAATTTTACTCTGATTATATCTAGAAAAAATTAATACTTTATGTTACATAAGCACATTTGAATCAAATGTGTTTGCTCAGTTAGGTACAGATTGATTGTGAAGCATCTGCTCTCACCAAGAAATATCACTACAAGCACCAAATTTTTTTTCTCAAGTTGGTACATATGTTTTGAGAGCACATGCAAAGTTACAAGTCATTCTGACAATTAATACTTTGTTTACAAGCCATTTGAAGTTGACTTGTCAGAGTATTTTTTTAATATAGAAAAAATTTAATATCGCGCATGATTAGATTCTTTGTTTTAAAAAGGTTTGAAATCAAAGGAAATTTATGAACAATGTTAGAAGTGCATAAGGAGTCCTCACCTTCAAAACGCACCGTTGAATTTTGGGCTGGTGAATTTAAATGTGGTCGTATTAGTCTTGAAGACGATCCAAAAAGCGTGACCACACCAAAAATCATTAAACAAGTTCATAATATTGTTAGTGAAGCTCCAAGTTTGACGAAGCCTGAAACTGCTAATGCCATAGGCATTTGAGACGAACGAGTACTTCATATTTTACGTGAAGAATTACATATGAAAAAGCACACGTTAACAATTCAACAAAAACTGGATCGAAAAATAATTTCTCAGCATAATTTGGGGTGTTTTAAGCAAATTAAAACCGATTTCTTGCGTCGTTTTATAACTATGGATGAGACTTCGATCTACCACCATGATCCTAAATTGAAACAAGAACGTTTACAGTGGTTGTTCAGCTCCAAAGCAGGTGAAGTCCCAACGATCAGCAAATAAGGTTATAGCATCAGTTTTTTGAGCTGCAAAAGGAATTTTGTTGACCATCGTATTCACAAGATTTGGCTCCCAGCGACCACTACCTCTTCAGAAACCTGAAACTATTCCTTCGTGGAAAACGTTTTTTATCGAGTGAAGAAGCTATTACAGCAGTAGACCGGTATTTTTTTCATTTCCAGCGCTGAAACTTTATGACTGTAAGTTTGATCAATTTTGCAATAAATAGGCAAGTGTTTGATTATCCAGATTTAGTTAGTTAGATACACTATAAATTTAACTTTATTCCTAATTATGGACATAAGTACGAGTATCTATATATGTATTTGAACGATTGATCTAGTATGTTAAAGGCTGGAATTTAGAACAATATGCATCGAATTCGGGGTAAAAATTGATATGGATGGGTGGAGGAGAAAATATACAGACATACGAGTATATGGGTGATTTCATCCAAAATTTACATGCAAAAATGTTTTTCGTGCAAAACATTTTTTAGTGTTCCTTAAAGAAAAATATTGGATTTATTTCGATATAATTTTCAAAATTTTGGAGTTATGAATTCGACGCTCGAAAATAGTACCTCTAAGCATTTGCATATATAAAGAAAAGTACCTAATATATAAAATTATCGTGTCACGGTGTTTGTTGGCAAACTCCTTCGAAACGGCTGGACTGATTTTGATTAAATTTGGTGTGCTTATCGGGTAGGTTTGAGAATCGGCCAACATATGTTTGTCATACCCCTTTTTTTCTGCGTTGAAAAATACATACAATTTCAAATTTTCACACTCACACGTTCAACTCCTGATTTTTAATCGCCATTTTTATATTATTCTATTCCATCCACAGATCCACAAGATGGCAATCGAATTTAATAATTATAGTATACTATAATTTTCTTGTATAGTTTAATCAACTAACGAAAACGGCCAACGTGTGTTATTCACAAACGAAATGGTGCTTGGTTGTGCTATAAATCTACCTAAAACTATGCTCACCGATTTTTTTTGAATTGTGTAATCACGCGGATATTTTTGGTGCCTTTGCTATTTTACATGGGCTCAATCGCAAAAATTCGATGACTGATGATATATTGTACCGAACCCATTATGCTGTCAGGGCACGTGAAAAACATTTTTTTTTCGAGGCTCCAAGTGGAACGGGGAAATTTAAAAAATCTTGAGTGGCTGCCAGAAAGATCGATTTGGCAGCAAAAAATGTAGACGTCAATGGGCTAAATTCAAAGATACAATAGTTGTTGTCATGGAACTTGTTGTCATACAAATTTTTCGATGCTGTTTGCGACAACGAAGTGACAACGAAGTTGGGAATTGAGTTTTATTACACATTATTTTGGTGATACTTACTCTGTCTCACACTGTAAATAATTTAATATATATTTCATCTTCATTCCTCTTTCAATTATAATTACGTCTCCCAAATACTTATAGTGTTTGTTATTTTTAAAAATATTGTAGTTCCTAAAACAAACTATTTCTCAAAAAAAATATTTCCTCAAACGACCTATATGGCAAAACAATCTGTGCTGGATCAGCTAGTTTCATTATATAAATAACTACTCCCGAGAAAGAAGTTCCGGCTACTTGTCGCGTTGTACACCGGACATTGCAGGCTCAACAAGCATTTATTTAACATGGACTTAGTCTCTGCTGCAAACTGCCGATTCTGTGACATGGAGTCGGAGACCCCAGAACATCTGCTAGTGGACTGCACAGCAGTCTGCAGACGCAGAGTTAAGGCCCTGGGATCCATGTTTCCTAACAGGGATCGCATCGCCTCACTAGCACCTAGCAGTAAATTGGATTTCATCAATATGCTGGGGCTAGATGAGTCGCTGTGACCTAGGGGAGGGCACAATAGACCATAGGTCGCGGTGCAAACCTCTATCCTTATCTATCTATTCTATATAAATAACTAACGGGTCTAATGTCTATGATTTTTTCTCAGCGTTCCAATACGTAATACGTTAATTTTATTTGACTTTTTTTTATAAACAAAATTTTAAATTTTAATATACAAATAATGTTTTTCCAATTTGAAACTATTTTTATTTAGTTTTTTTTTTATTGAAAAATGTACATTAAACTTTTTAGATACTAATTTACAAGTTTCAGAGTGGGCAGTATAAAATTGTAATTTTGACAAATTTTCGAACTTTGTTTCTCGTGTTCGCTGCTAGCGCTGTGAGATTTTTTTCCACGCGTGTGGCGTTGTGGACGGAGTTTTTAACGGCCCATTCTCAATTTTATACAATATGTACATATGTAACTATATGTAAATGTGGCTAAAGTTAAAAATGTAAAAAAAATTTAACAATTTTTTTGTTTGCATGCAGCCCTTTTGTTATTGCGTGAATAAATAGAATTGAACAAAAAGTTAAATATGAATTAAAGCTATTTTGCCACTTTTTAAATAATATGAAATAAATGTGTAGAAACGAATTAGTGAAGTGTTCGTGGATATAAAGTGAAAAATATATTCAATATATATAAGTCAAAATATATAAATCAAAAAAATACATTCTTTAAATTGTTGATTTTTTTAACTTTCAATGCAATATAACCCCGAATTCGGGGGATACTATTCTAAAATTTACCCAAAATGGGAGTACCACCGAATCTAGTTTTTGAACTTACCGGATAATACATTCCTTGAGGAGGAAGAAAAAATGCTCCTGAACCCCACAGTTTGACGGTTTTATAGTTGCAGGTGTGCGTGCAGCGTATTCCTTTAACTACTTTTAAATTCAACAGTTTATAGTTGAATTAATAGTCAATTTTTCACCACGAAATTATCAGTACAACAGCAACAACAATAAAAGTGTGTTTACAGAAAACTATATTTGCAATTATACTTATTTCTTGTTTAATTGTAGTGCTTTTATTTTACTATTGCAAACTTTATTTAATTAAGAGAGTATTTTTGGCACATATTTATTTGAATTCTTATAAACTTTTCATTTATGCACATTACTACAGCTTTTATACTGCAAATGTTCTCAATTGGAGCACAATTCATTACTTTACATACACAACTAACGAGCAGTAGGAGAAAAAACTACTAAAACGGGTATATGCACAAAATTCTAAGAATGATGATTGATATCGGTACTTAAGAGTATTTTCAGCATACGGTTAGTGAATATCCTTCGCTTTAAGTACACTTCGTATACACTTGTATTAAAATATGACTATTAAAAGTGAATATTATACTGATAATATTAGTGTAAATGAAGATTTGAAAGTATAATACTTCAATTATTCCTATTCAAATCAATATTTAACAACCGGTAAGATGTGGGGAAACATTTTCTTTGGCTGATTAGAGTCTATTTATATACATACAGTTTTGTATTTTGATAAGCCAATCAGTTTAATTTTCGTTTCTTACAACTCTCAGTAAATCACAGAATTAAGAACAGCACACAAAATAAGTTATATTTACTAGACAACGGATAAAGTTTACTGCATTTTGATAGACAGTATGAAAACACGTATATGAAAGATACACAAAATTGCCAACCATTATTACCTTCACTCTACATTATATACTATTTTCTAGCATATCTGAACTGGTCTAAAATAAAAGCAATGATCTCGTATAAAACTGTTGAGGAAATCTAGCAATGGATGCCTTGAACGCTGCGGCAATGGCTACAAAATTGTGAGTATTGTGCATCGCACATATTTTTGCTAAATTTAGTTTCTCGCATACAAAACATACACAGAAGACTCTCATCATTGAGGGTTGTTGTCTTTTTTTTTGGGTGCTTCGAATATATGGCCGGCTACCGATTCAACTGCTGTGCTGGTGGGAAAAATCGAATCGGTGAAACGCAACAAAGACAGCATCACCAAGTAATGCTACATATGAACATTTGGGATGAAAATATATAGTAAAGCAGGATAAAACATCTGAGAAATCATACAACACCGATAAATATTGTACGTAACAAAGCAAAACACTGTGCGTGAATTTGTAGGAAGAAGTGAGACGAGATAAATGATGCTACAAGGAGAGTGAAATATTTGGTGGATGAAAACAGAAGTCTGGTAAAAAGGTATGCCTAAAAGGAGTCCTATGATATACATTTGTATGTATAATATGGTATCTCAATGGCATATACATATTTTAGCAAAGCACTAAAATGTAGCGAATGGGGTATTAAAAATGCGCATATGTATATCTATACATACAAGTAAACGAGACTAACGGAAAATAATATAGGCAACTATTAGGCGTATCTGGGATTCTAAAAAGGTTAATGTAAGTTATGCAGAATTTATTTATAGGCCTTTTCTGACTAATACCTTGGTGGAGGTAACGAAATATCTTTTCTCTTCCGGTTTATTGTTTTAATATAAGTACGAGTATATATATAACACGTTTTTCAGTCATTAAAAACATTATTAGTTGTACATACATACATATGTATGTATGCTACTTCTATTCAGTCTTCATTTACGCAATAATTGCGTCTACGAAAAAATTCGTATTGGTTGGCTTCCCTAATAATTATTATTTAATGCGGCATATATTTAAAATATTTATTTCTTTTAACATAATTTAAATTGTTTTCCTCCCGATATATTCCGTGTTATATTGAATTTAATATTAAACACTTTCTATTCGTTGTTTGTAAAATGCTTATTACTTTTTACGCAGATAAATATTCCAATTCTATTAAATCGAACTAGAAATAACGATCACTAAAAGAACTGCATCACTTTTAACCAGAGCCAATATAATTCTATTGCAGAGGATATTAAATATGCACTATTCAAAGATACACTGACTGCGACGGCGGCGGCAACATACATGCGAACAATACGATAGATAGGAAGCAATAGTATATAATATATTTTAAATGTTGCAGCACTGCGACAAAAATACAACTAACTTCTACCAGAGAACATACCATGCCTAGCCAGCTGCCCAGTTCGCCTTGTACGCTTTATTCATTTCCTTCACTCTACAAATATTCGTTGTTACTCTCTTCTCTCCTAACTGCTTGCCTCTTTTTCTTCATTCCCTATCGCATGACTTAACGTACTCTGGCTGACGGTCGACGTTCTCTGCTTTCAATTTATTTTGATTTCACTTTCGGTTTGCATTAGGAGTGTGTGCACCAGCTCTCTCGCTTCCGCAGCAAACAAAGCCAATTGAACAACAGATATTAATGAGAATACACCACTGTAACATTTCAAGCGATGGAAACAAAACGTATTAATCCGATTGGGTTAAGGAACATAAAAGCAGGGTTTCCAAGGTTTATTCAGAATGAATTTAAAAGAAGTTCCAGTATTTAAACCAGAGAGTAAATCGATCTTCTAAGTTCTCTGTTTAAACGACGGCAAAAAAAATATAGTGCATCTAATTGCGCTAGTTAACAAATTTTGTATTGTAATGTACTTTACAATAAATATAATATCAACCATAATGGTATGCTGTTGAGGTGTTCAGTGAGCTTTCTTCATCAGCAGGTTTCTGCGCATGTTCGTGTATTCATATAATATTTACAAATTGATGTCTTCTGATGTCCTCTACATTTGTTCACTGGTACTTTTAAATATGTACTCTTATACTAATAATTTTCTTTAAAAAAGTAAAATTTTTACTGTTGCTACGTATTTTGTAAGGATAAAATATGTACATATATATAACTTAACATTAATTAAATATGGAACTTTCCCTGTCTATAGGACCTCTCAAAACTATTTAACGAATTTGTTTCAAATTAGTAACGAACAAAAATAGAAAATCCAAGAATTTGACACATATCCGCAGCCGTTTATTCTTGGATTAAAATTATATATTTACCATATGTAATTAACTATAAATAATCGGTTTCGACTATTTTTCTTATGTCATTTGTTTTTGGTCTACTTTTATAAAAATATGTACGAATACTAACGCACCATTATACCATAGTTAAACTTGACCACCTATCACTTCGAAAAGTCTATTTTGTAGAAAATGCCCACACTATTGGTAACGAGACTATAAAATCAATTTGATTATCCATAAAAAGGTTAGATGGAGTTTTAAATAGTTTCTATTATTTAAACAAAATATGCCAAAATAAATTGTCCAGTCACTTCTGTAAGTACAAAGCATAAACCCATAATAATCTTCAAATAGTATTAACTGAATTTTTATTGTTGTTGTTGTTGTAACGAAATATTTCTAAAACAATTTTGAAGAATGCTGCCGAGTCGTGCGAACGATAACTGATTTTATTCAGGCATGCAATGATTTGGGGTACTTTTTTCTGAAAACTTATTTTCTGTAAGAAAGTTTAAACTAGTAAAAGTTAGAAACATCTAGAACGATTGGGTATGGTGCCTAATAAAATAATAATATTGTTTAAAACTCCCAATATATGTTTATGAAACATCAAAGACTCTCAAATGATTACTGATTTTATTCTACTCAAGCTTGACAAACTCGAATTACCCGTAGTACTTCAAAATAACCCCATAATTTGCAAGATAATGAGAAAAATAGCTCAATTCCTCCATACTTATATATACATATGTATGGTATGCATGAATGCATGTTGCGGAAGTTTTAATAAAAATTTGAGAACTATTTTTTTTATTATAAAGAAATACACACCCAAATCTCCTGGTTTAACTCCTCCCATTCCTCATTCAGTTGCTGATTAAGAAGAAAACGTTGGTAAAATGAGTTAAAGTCGCCCAGTATGCTGCTAATATCAGCCATTTTACCAAATATTTACAATGCAACGAAATTTACAAATAATATCAAACACAATATAAATTTAATATTCAAATTTTACAACAAATCGAAATCACAACTCAAACAATGTAGTATAAAATAATAAAGTTAAATAAACAATTTAATTTTAAAAAATGCTCGTCCATTAGGAGCTACGGCTGAGTTGTAGAAATTAATAAGCAAAGCGGAAGGGAGACACGGAAAGCAATGAAGTTCCAATGAAAAGGAAAAGGAACCACAAACAAAACATATACAAAAGCTCTTGATGATAGCGACAATTAGATACATGGCGTTGCATATTGTTATTTTTTAGTTTTATCTTTCGTATATTTGAATATTTAGCATAATTTTTAATAATTTGAGTAATTCTTACTATTTATATTTACATATACAAAGTACATCATAATTGATTCATAGTTAAAGCAGAGAATGTTAATAAATATATTTTACATTTATTAACATTCTCTGATCATAGACACGTACCCACCTGTCGGTTATAAAATATAGCCCCTATTAGTTATTTCCAGCGGAAAGCTTTTATTTACCATATACTGCTGTGTTGCCAGCGCCGCCAAATTATGATTAAATTACTCCATCTAAAGATGTATCATAGTTGTACTTAAAAGGCCAATATGTGAATTGCTCAATAAAATTAAATACCATAAGTTGCGAATATTTAATATGATCAGAGAATAAGTCGATTAGATGAACATTCAGTTTTTTATACTTTTATATATAGACATATGCACTAACAATAATCGTTAATTGCCACTTAATATTTTCTGACAGATTTCCCTAAAATTTTGAATTTGAGAATTACGGCTAAGATGTTAACGAATTAACCATGAATATAAAAATATTTGCTTTTAATTTCAGTTCTGAAATGCTATAGAATTATTAAAGCTATTTAATTCTTTAAGCTTCGTTATTGGTATTTGGTTATGGTTTAATCGCTGATACTTTTAAATGACATATGAAAACTTTTGATACAAAAAATTGTAATAATGAACCTTGATAGGTAAATACCTAATACTTAATATATTTATATTGTACCTATTATTCTATTTGATAGTTATAAAAAATACTAGTAGTGAAATATAATATAAAATAATATGTAACGCACCTGACGTTGACGAAAATCCGTAATGGATATGGACCCATTTAAGTCCATTGTCGACATTAGTGATTACGATGGATTTAGTTGATGGGTGTTAAAATTTCGCTGAATGTATCCTACTTTAATTTTTTACTTTCGTATTTATATTTTAAGTGATGCAATGCGATAGTAATCGTTTTGTTGTTTAACTTTCAATTCCAATTTATAATCATAATAAAGTTGCTTGGAGTTGTATACCTTTTTAGTCGTAATGTAAATTTCATGGACTGCGAACAGTGTTAAAAACCTCATTCAAAATTTTTTAATTCTTCCCTTCAATAGTAGCTTAATTATTTGGACGGTTTTATATATTCAATCTTCAATCAATACTTCTTACTTCGTAGAAGTCAATACTAATCTTGTATTTGACCATACAACGCTAATTTATATCTATTATATATAGTTGATTGTATTTTATTTTTCATCTTTCTTCTACGTTGGATGGTTTTTGCGGTGGTTTCAAATCAATAAACGATTGTAAAGTCGATATTCCTGTCAGTATAATTTAATAATAACATTTGATGAATCCTCTTGGAATCATTATTGCTACTTCCTCGGTTATGAATCAATTTGTTGTAACTAAAAGAAATGAAAACCAGAAACATCTAAAATATTTCGAAGATATACATACGTTTATGTATTAATGAAAAAAATTTACTAAAATCAAATCAACACGTAGTTGACATATGTGAGTATCTTTTCACGGATTATATATATAAATATGTCCTAATAAGGAGATTAATTGATAAATAATACTTCAAACTGAATTAAGTTTTATTATTTTATCGAGTATATATTAATGGTGGCATGTGAGGTTTACCTCTCTATAACTACGCTGCAACATGTAATGCTCTCACACATAGTGGAGCACGTGTCTTTAATAACACACACAGTGAGTATCTCACCATTACTAATTTTTCCCAGGTGAAACTCCTAAAAGTGTACTAAAACATGAATACTATTGAGAGCTGAATTACATAGCTGTAATTGGATGAGCTCTGTAACACAGTGCTAACTGTTCGACGATTATACTATTCTGTTCTCTTTATAAATATTTATATTCCTTGAGTGTTTCCGTCAATGGTGCAACAATTTGTTTAAAAATAATTAAAATATTATTGTATACATACATACAAACATAAGTTGCTTTGCTTGGCCGAAAGCGGTCAAATTCCGAACATTGTTTTTTCTGACGAAAAATCTTGCCCAATTGAGCAATTTATAAACTTTCAAAACGATAGTTTTACTTGACCGACCGTTCATAATTTGAGTCATCGGTTGGCCACCAAGAGGCAATACCCAGCACAAGTAATGGTTTGGGCTGCTGTAACCGCAGATCGGCGCCTCCAATATCAATATTTTAAGGCCATAGTAAAGGCAAAAGGTGGTTATATCGGGCAAAAGTGATTCGATTCTGAACTTTTGATTATTTTTACACATTCTGTGCTTTGAAATAAATTAAAACAACTATCCAAACCGAATTTATGGCCTTTTCAATCGGTTACACTTCGAGTGTCGGACCTTGTATAACAATTTTTTATTCAATATGATTCTTCATTTTACACTATGTAAATCAGGAACCAATAAATTTACCGGCACAGATAGTGTCTTTAAAATGTTCTCGAACATTTTTGAGTAATACCAAAATTTAGTACAATCAATTCGGAATCTTCCCTTAGCACCAATATACCGGATCTAGTGATTTGCTGATTGATTTTAAGCCGTTTATGTTGGTCAAAATATCAATATATGTGATATTTAAATGAAATTAAATGGACAAGTTGTCTTAAAAATAGTGTGGTTTAGAGCTGAATATGAATGAAAACGGCGTAGATCTTGGTTGAAACCTTATATCCGTAATATAATGATTTCCCAATTTCGTAATTGACTTTTTCCTCATATACCTAATAGACTTATATTCAATTTAGCCACTTTTGTTGAGTTTAAATCACGTGACCTGTATCTGACCTCTTAAAAAGTTAATAAGATACCAAATATAATTTTAGTTCATTCACGGTTACGTCATATAATGAATATTGAATTCTTTCGCAACATTTTTATACTCTCACCCCATGTTGCTACTGAGTTTGTATATTCCTTAATACCCAAGGAAGGTCGGTATTGCAAATGACCGTAATTGGACCACTGCCACTCCCATAAAACGCCATTAAACGAAAAATTATAAAGTGTCATAACTAAGCACAAAATTAAGATGCAAAACTTTAATTTGGTACAGGAGAGCAAGGTAACGAGGGACACCTGTGGGCTAAACATTTTTTAAAGTGGTTGTTGCGCCGTGCCCGCTGAAGCTAACTTAACGAAACTTGCTAAAAAGCAGTCTTTTTAGCACGTCTTCACACACTGTGAAAATGGATAATATATAATTAGGTAATAACCACGCCCACTCCCCATACAACGGTTCTGTTGAAAACTACTACAAGTGCGATAACTCCCTGAAAATATACGCCACAAGTATTCAATCTCACAATCAAGATGGTAGAGAAAGACTTTATAGAAGCCGATATAAAAATTGAACAACGGGCGTGGCATCGCCCAACTTTAGGTGAAATCTTATATCTCAGGAACTACTTGACCGATTTCAATCAAATTTGTTGTGTGAGGTTACCAAATATTCCTATCATACAAGTATATTACACTGTCAAATGGATGACCAAGCCTACTTCCCATGTAACAAACTTTTAAATATCTTCTGATTCTTTCACTTTACAGTATACAAACCAAACATCAATGAAGTTATCAGAATAAAACTTTGCACAAATATTACCCTTAACCTATTTCATCTTACGCCCAAAATTGTCGAAATCGGATTATAAATTTTCAAGGACCCAGATACCAAATATGTGGACCCTAGTGCATATGGCTGTTTTCATGCCCTTGTCCAACAAGTGGGTAAAATCGGGTCAATATTTCTCTTAGCCCCCATATACCTAGTATAAATTTGATCAAACTTTTGGTTGACTTATACTGCATCTATAGGCCAATATGTAAGTAATCTTAATAAAATTCAAATATAAATTCTTTCTTATATCCTCTTGCCTAAACTGGATGAAATCAGGGCAATACTTCCCCTAGTTTAATATAACGTTTTGTTAACACCTGAAGGTGTTTCCCGGGCTTGGATCTTTTCAAATTTCGAGAGTATAAAATGCAATGTTCGGTTCCACCTGAACTTAGCCCTTCCTTACTTGTTTATTTTATACATACTTGTTTTGCCAATAGTCAAGAAAGTCAAAGCTATCCAGTATGTAGCTTTACGTGGATAAAAATTTTTGTTGATGTTTTTAAAAAATATAAATATGTGGCATTTCCCGTTACTTCAAAAATTGAGAACTAATATACAAATATATATTGATTATAATATTATTTATTATCAAGTTAATATGAATAAACTGTAAAGGACATTTAGGCGATACACGGAGGTAAACGGCATAAGTGGTTAAGATTATTCTAAAAAGTGGATGTTGTCTCGATCTCTAATTGGTTTAATATACATATCTATAAATGATTGCAGCTACCTGTTCGAATTATATTCCTAACTTTACCATAAACATAAAAGTCCGTGGTAAAAATGATATGGTAGCCCGCATATATTCAACTTAAAGTCACGATAAAAGCGGTAGCATATTAAACAGCTACGATATCGGTAGTAATATCGAAATATATTTTTGTGCCCCCTGTTTTCAAGCAAAAAGTGACATCAGTATAATTTACCTCTAGCTCCCACATACTATGATATGTATATTGATTAGATGTTTGATATACATACATATGTATGTGCAGTTATATGATATAGTGGCCCGATATCGGCAGTTCCGACAAATGATCAGCTTCTTGGGGAGAAAATAACGGCTAATTTTCTATTTAAACAGATTTTACACTGACTATACCTCTGTATGCTTTCCTCACATGACACCAACCAACCCACCTAAATTCATATCCATATGGTCCGAATCCATCTAAGCAGCTTGAGTTTTTCTCCATGCAGTGTCTAGATACTCAGCTACCACAACAGCTATCCTTCCTAAGGGCACAAGTATATCCCCGGAATTTGATTTAGAAAAAACATTTTAAGTTTACATAGCTGCGTGAAGTTATCTTTATTTATGTTATGTATCGGGGATAATGAAACGACTTTATGTTTACCAGTATATGACTATTATACAAAGTAAAATGTAAATGCTTTAGGAATTGCAAAAGGGCGGTAAAGGAATTGGCTGTTTGAAGTTATCATATGTTTGTGTGTTGTTTTGTAATGTTTTTAAAATTTTTACTACCCTGACAATTGACATCTCGAAGGACATCATCGTGTGAAAAATACGCTAGTTGGTGCTCTGCAATATGCTAGTTGTAATAATATGGTAGTTGATTGTACACTGCAATGTTGGTTTTTTTCAGCAAAATGACTTTAAGTCACCTCTTAATAGCTGAATTCCACAAACCAAAACCTTACGAAATCACAAAAGTCAAAGAAAGAAGCTTGCCGGAACCAAATTGAATTATGTTAAATAGTACAAGATATTTTGTAAAATATTGTATTTTATGCCCATAAAATTGAAGTTTGCCTTAGTAAAATTGTACAATATGTATATATATTTACCTGTAATTTGTTTTTGCATTTATGCCTATTGTATATAAGTTGCAATTCTCTGAATGAAGGTAATTTCCTTTTTGTATTCACATTTTACATATGTATATTTGTACACATGTTAACATACTTGCACTTGTATCGAAGTGTGTCGTTGGGAATGAATTATAATACAATACTTTTCCACCATTTGTTGTTGACTACTAGAAACACCAAAACGTACTATTTGTATAGTATTATGTGGATATTGTAGAAATTATGTAAATTTTCTATCTTGATTTCAACTAAACAAATTGTCATTGGCTTTAAACTTGTTCAATTTATTTCTGAATCGATTGTTCTAAAGCCGAGATGTGTACACAATCGAAATATGTATGTACGTACAGACGACTGCACATGCAGGGGAAAACACGATTCCCTTGGTTTGCTCAAAACATCACACTGACCGACTTTCACTTTCTTAAACAACATGTATTGTTTTTCCCCACTTAGTCGTTACGTACATCATTACATCATTAACAATTTCAATTATTTGTTAATTAGTTTACAATCTAACTAGGAGCAAAGCGTTTAGAACCGTTAAAGGGAATGTTGATACTGATTTCACACAGCGCGCCTTAATTTATGTTATACCAGTCAACTTGTGTTTGTGGGTATAACAGTTTTCCAGCATCCTAAAACTCTCTTAATAGCTCAAATTTGCTCTCCTGAGAGATACTATAAATTCTTCATTTGTATTTGCATGTGCACAGTGCGTTAATATCAGTAACTCATCTTAAAATATCGAAAATAAAATACGTTTTATACATTCATTTAAAAATCGCCTTTACAGTGTGAGGTACACATATGAGTATCCATTTTTCTCGAAGCTACTTTTTATGGTGTCGTCACGATATCTCAAGTTATAGTATAATAACATAATATTTTAATAAAATGTTTAAGCATCTGTGAAAAAGTCGGCCATTATTTTTGAGTGGCCGCCATTTAATGGAACTTTTGCCTGTTGCCTTATATGATAATGACATTTGTACTTATCAAGAATCAGACATTGGTTTATTTTTCAAATAATCACAAGGGTAGAAATCGTGGCGAAAAGTACGTGGCCTTCTTAAAATATTAATTGCTTTTTTATCGATGGCCAAAAATCGTTCAAATTCAAGCCACTATCTAGTCTAGTGTTATAAAAATTAGATAAGGAATGGAAATTATGTATAGATGTATATGAATTTGTTTAAAAGAGTATTTTTAATAGTCCAGCCGATATTTCATTAAATACGTACACTCGGCACAAAAAGTCTGCGTACACTCTAAAATCTTATTTTCTTTTGTTAAAAAATAAGTTTTATGTACTAAATTTTAGAGCATAATCATATTAAGTGCTTTATTACTAATTTATTGCATAATACCATAGCATTGTAAGCAATGAAAATCTGACGCTACATGTAGTAAAATGGGACTTTCCTCCGCAATAGCCAAATGTAAGTGTCGGAAAGTTATAGTTTTACTTGTTTTCGTAAAAGTATAAATTTTAAAAGATTTCTGACACGGCACTCCATAAGGAGATATTGATGCATACTGTAAAGAACGGTGGTGATGAAGCAATGCATAGCTAGTAACTGTGTGGGCCAAATGGAATTTATAGAGTTCACCAACATACCTTAATAATTAATTTAAACATAAATTTGAAGCAAAGAGCGGCAGAATTTGGTCTTGGAAGAGACTCCTATTTTCTACAGGGTGACGACTCGAAGCCTAAGGCAGACATAGTTAAGTTTTAGGTACTCTACAACGTTCCCAAACAGCTTCAAACACCACCAGAATCCCTAGATAGTCCCTATGAGATTCTACTGGTACGGAAAATCCGCTAACGCACAATTACCTCAAAAGAGCGGAAATTTTAAAACATTGGTTATATCCGACTTCCTATTAAATTTTAAGAATAATAACTTTAGTCGACTTATTTACCTTGTACGCAGAGTTTTTCTAATGGATTTTTTATTCGTCCGTATGTTCTGCTTTGTTTATATGTTACTGTCGGCTATTTCATCAGTTGTATTTTCATAAAACTACATATTTAATGTCTATAAAATTATTTTTTCCTACAATTTATTTTTGTTTATACTTTGTACGCAGACTTTTTCTGCCCAGTGTATGTTAATTCAACTTTACTCATCTTCAAAGTAAAGATAAGTTACAACATGAATAAATGTAGTTATAAAATCAATACAATAGTCTCCGGCGGGAAATTTAAATGGCAGATAAAAGCCCCGGTCCTTATCTATAGAAGCGTTAAGATAAATAAAAGTTTCCTATTAAGTAAACAAAGGATTAGGCAATACGAATATAACTGTACTCGCGCAAGAGCTAACTGTAATCGAATATTTCGTGTGCATATTTGAGTAGTTTTCAACTAAACCAAATAAAATCACACTAATCCACAGTTATATCAATGACAAAACGGACGTTTCACATAAGATTTCACGCGCAACTACAAAAAATATAAGCATCTGAAAAACGTTACACAAGGGTTTCCATTACATACATACATTAACTTGATTAATCGGGTGCTCCTTAAAGTAACACAACGTCTGTACTTTATTTCACTGACCATGTCTAATATATTACATTCCTCCAGAGAAACCAAATTTGGATGCGAAGTTTTGCAGTAAATTTTTTTCAGTTTAACAAAACTTTGCACTTGGCTATTATTGATACCACCATTAGACGTTGCTACAAAAAGAAAAGTTAATCCCAAGTCTCTAACTTCTCCAATCAATGCTAAATGTTGAACTAAATCCTAATTACAAATGAAAATTGTTAAAATAAGAATTTTTTGTACTAATGTTAATCGATAAAAAAATCTGCCTATTAATTTACAATACGATGCAAGAAAATGGGCAATAATAATAAGCAAATTCATATAACTACGAAATATTTTTTGGAGTAAACATAAGATATATTCCGAATGAAAGTATTTGAAGTTTGGTATGTTTATATATAAATGTATTAAAACCGCTATTTATAAAATTGTAATTTTATTAGTAAAATACTTCTCATGTTTTTGACATTATAAATTAAATATAAAATTAAATTTTGCCATTGCTTTCATAATTCTTCTTTCTGTACTGTATGTAAAAACACTGCATTTATTGGTAAATGATACTTATAAAATGAAACAAGCTTAATCAAATATGTTCACACGGAATATTTTTAGTTTTTTCCCAATACTTGAGCATGTCTCACAAGTGAACGCGTATCCAGGTGTTTGTAGATATCGAAAATATATTTTGGCGGGCGCAGATATATATAAAGTCAATACTTCCAGAAATTTGGGTTTTGGGCCATCCGTCTCTGGAAATTTGTGTACCAATTCTGTAACGTCGAGAGAGGTACAAGTGTTTCACTACTCATTGGGGAGATTTGTTGTGGAGACATCGTAAAACTGGACGCATAGTTGAAAAAATTCTCTAGCATCTTTTGACTGAACTGAAGATTTGCATTTGCATTTTGCTGTGAAAGATGAGATCATATTCTTATATTTTATGACACATGCTTATTTCCTCTAAATTAACTAATTGTTTTAATGATAATTCTTCACTTACCACCGCAGGTGTCAACTGAGAAATTGTAAGTTCTGGCTCAACGGATATACCTATTTGCGCTGTGTGGGAGATCTCTTGTGCTCCAAAAATCATTCCATGCTCCGCCGCTTCCAATTCGTGACTTTTCTTCAGCTGGGATATTTTAAATATCGCTGACGGCTTGGCGTTGGAAATGTGACCCAGGTATTGCCATGTGGGAGCTGAATTTGCGTCCGGCCAGCTGAAGTAAACCGCAGCTGCTGTTCCTTCAGGAAGTGCTGTCAACCCAGTTAAAAATACTACAATATAATTTACATGATCTATGTCTGGCACATTTATTACGACTTTATTTTCATCTACCGGCGTGAAGTCAGTTTGCGGCTATGGTAAAAAATAAATATGTACATATGTATGTACAATGTACGTAGAAATGTAATTACACAGAACCTGCTTTACTATCGTGTTGAGTGATCGAGATTACTCACCAAACGCCCAGAAATTATTAATCCAAACATTATTATAAGATTAAAGGTTAAAGTAATTTGAAGATTTCTAGAACAATTGATAAAATAATACGTGAACGGCACTTCCCTCTACACTACTCTAGACGCGTAAATAACATGTAGTCAGCTGTTCTCATAGTACGTTTGCCGCACGTTGCGAACCTGGGAACAGTGTGTACACTTCCAACATATACTATTTGATAAACTATTGAACCCTTTTTAAAATTTTTATAGTATCTACTGCAAAATGCTGATATATGTACCATATGTACCATATATACCATATATTATACTTTGTAGGGGAAATGTTTATTTATACATATATATAAATTAAAATTTTGCTTTATTAATACCAACGTTAAAATTATGGTTGAATCTATTTATCCGGTTGAGTAAGTGATTTTTTCAACTCAAAAGTTTTATGGAAAAACCTGGTCGGTCCAACATTGAGATGTCCATAGTTCTTTTGCGTTGAACTCCTTTTTGCATCATCCCTGAAGTAATTTAGAAAAATGCTGTCAACTTGATAGTCCTTGGCCAGATAAAGATATAAATAAGTATATAAACCAGTTTGAAATAATAATAAAATTTTCAATTAAAACTAATTGGTAACAGTATGACATTTTTAGTGATAGTTTCTTACAAATGGTCAATTTATTATATATAAACAATTTATTAAAATAATTTAAAATAACAAAATATATTTTTTTGAACGAATTCTAATTTTATGATTGCAGACATAATGGTACTTACCATATCCGCATTAATAGTTACTCCGTAAAATTATTGCTTTGTACTAAACTTATTTCATAACAAGTAAGTAAGGGCTAAGTTACCGAGCATTTCATACTTTTGCAACTTACCAGGATCAAAGCCGGGAAAATACCTTCAGGTGTTGGCAAAACTTTAGTTTAAAAATATTGCGAATTTTTATAACATATCTTATAGATTGACCGATAATTTCGATAAAAAGTTGAATAGTTTTGCCTTGATATGCTTGAATAGTTTTGGTCCGATTTGGACAATTTCTGGGCATAAAGTGGTCAACCTTATAGCCACTATTCGTGCAAAGTTTTATCCGGATACATTGATTGGTTCTTTAATTGTATACTGAAAAGTGAAAGAAACAGATGGAATTTAAAACTGTGTTATATGGAAAGTAGGCGTGGTTTTTGTCTGATTTCGCCCATTTTGAAACTGTAAAGAAGGAATGTATACCAGAATAATATTACTAACCAAATTTGAGTTTTCACAGTTATTGCCTCCTACAAAGCCCTCTCGTACCATGGCTGGGGCATTCATTTTTAGATTTTTCGCACTTTTAGTAGTTTTTAACAAAACTATTATATGGGGTGAGGCCGAGGGCGGAATTATAATCCATTTTCGTATTGTCGGTAAGAGTTCTTGAAGAACATTTTTTTCTTTTTTTTTAGCCCACAGGTGCCCCTCGCTACTGCAATCCTCTGTACCAAATTACAGTTTTATATCTTAATTTAGTGCTTAGTTATGGCAGTTTATATGTTGTCGTTCAATGACGTTTTGTGGGCGCGGTAGTGGTCCAATTACGCCTTTTTTGCTAAGGAACACATGTACAAAGGTTCATTAGGATATCTAAACTTTTACTCAAGTTACGGCTTGCACAGACAGACGGATGGACGAACATACAGTCAACCTGATTTAAACTTATCCTGATCAGTTATATATATGTATACATATAACCCGATATCTATCTATTCCTTTGGGTTCCACCACAGGATTGTCAAAAATTTCTCAATAAATTTGGCTACTTATCTATTATAAGAACTAGAAATAATATGTATTAAATTTCATTCGGATATCTCAAAATCTGACGAAAAAAATTGTATAATCTCCAAAATTAAACTGCACTTAAAAAATCGCTGGCTCGAAATCGTTTTAAGACCCATATTCTCTTAGGCAAAGTTGTTTCGAATGATTCGTAGCACATTTCTCGTATGCGCGATTTAAAAAACAAAAAATCGACCCGCTCTAATGGACAATATATACATCTCGCGGAATTCAAAATCAAGCGCTCGTAGTTATATCCCCGATTTAATTACTTGAATCAACTACCAACAATAAAATAAAACAATATTTGTTTTGCTTTCACATAACAATTGTTTGAAACACAAAACACCAAAAAAATTTTTTCAATATCTGTATGTCCATTCTCTTGTGCAACGGAACTGAAATAAAGTTGATTTGATTTTATAATATATTAAACGAGTACGCCATAATAAGTTGTTTATGCAAATGGATGGAATTAGACCATTGGCATCCCAAAAAATGGTATATACATACATATACCTATGTTTTGAATGGTAGGCATAGCCCGTGTTCCTATAGGGTACTATTTTATCTTATATTATGCTGACAAATTGTCTAATTTAAGAAAATTTTTTTTCTAACACAAAGCCTCTCCTCCTTCATATACCTAACAACATTTTAACTTAGTATTCGTGATGGCCCAAAAGATATTGAGTAATAACGTTAATATTCGTGAATGTGCACACAAATGCTATTAAATATAAAGAAATTTGCACATATTGTTATAGAGTATTTATATAGTTATCAGTCGCTTAATATCAAAACTCACAAGCACAGTTACTTGAGTTTGCGATTTTAATAAGCTTTAAAATAATTAACTATCAAATATAATATATGTTCAATATATTATTTCTTTCCAGCAGTTGGCGGCTCTTCCTTGTTTGTTGGTGGTTTTATTTGAGGTGCATTTTCAGTTCGCGTTTTCTGGACTGGCTCGGCTTTAGTATTGAGTGGCTTATTTACTGTTTCGGATTTGACCACACCTTTAGAAACTATTACTGGAGTGGGGAATAGTTCCTTCTCAAGTTCAGGCATTTTACCAAATATTTCCGTTAGAAATCGCAAAATCTCTTTATTATGAGTGGTTTTGTTGCCCACACTGGGGGCCGCTAGGCCACATCTTCCAATATATTGTATACATTGGCTGTTATTAAAAGTAAAGTAAGAGTAGTGATTGAAATAGAAAATAAAATAGAAAGCAAAACTAAAACAACTAAAAAGTGTAGATGACTACGTATGTATGTATGTGTAATACGTACATATGAAAATTGTAATATTTACAATATGCATATATAGGTATAATTGTTTTTTAGCCAAACAAATACTTAAAAAAAAGATTAAGATTAATATATATGTATAATATTTACGGGATTGATTGACAGCTGCCAATGAGCAGAAACAACACAAATAACCAATTCCCAAGACAGCCGGTTCTAAGTTACCGGAATTGATCCACAAGTTATGTGGCCCCATGCTCCCAATGCACCACTGCGACACCAGTCTCAATGGCTGTGCAAATCGTACTATGTTCGCGCACTGCGCCGCCACTCCAGTCGAGTGGCCAACAAAAGACCTCTACGGTCGTAAAGAGTTGAAACAGGCAGTGACACTCCCAGTCTGTCTATAATTATCTCGATCGAGAAACCCCTCCCGACTTTATTTCTGTAGACAACCGAACCTTCGTTAACTTTAACAAAGCCAACTGAATCGGCTTCACAGAATTTATTGAGAGCACCTCACCACACTACCAATTTCTACGGATGTCATCGATGACGAGCGTCAATTTCGCATTGTGATCGCTGCTGCTACCAATCGATTTATCTCGGCTGGAAGAATTGCGGAGCTCCGACCCAATTTCCCAGCCGAAACAGCTGTTTTAGCTAACGAGCGCGACACCTTACGTCATGCGGGGCCGCGAATAAGGGATCTGAATTTGGAGATTCGGCACATGGTAAACAATCATAAGCGGATAACATGACGACCGGGTTAAAATTCAATTTGATGGCCATTCCTCCTCGAAACTGAAAAAGTGCGCGAGCTATTTTAATCGGCCATTTACACTACACCCTTCGACAGGCAAGGCCAAATGATTTGTTACCCGACGTCTGCACAAAATACCAAAAGACCGCGCGCCACTTACTTTCACCGATGAGGAGGTTCAAAGTGTCATCAACAAGCCTTAATCATTCAAGTCCATTGGCCCAGATGGAATCAAAATGCTGATGCTAAAGTATCTAGGTTTCCTCAACCTGTCACTGACCACTCTTCAAATAACCGATGTGTGGAAAGACGGAATAGTAGTATCATTACTAAAACCTGGGAAACTCGCCAACAAAGGGAGTCTTATCGCCCGATAACTCTCCTTTCCCCAGTAGTGAAGACGCCTGAGGCCTTGCTACTCCAGACATTCACTCATCACCTGAGCCTAGCAGACCACCAGCATGGCTTTTGAAAAGTGCACATGACTACCATAGCACTTTGCGTCATAAACGCTGAGATAATTTATGGACTAAGCCAAAAACCACCCTATGAGAGACCGATCCTCATAGCGTTGGACTTGTCAAAAGCTTTTCTCACAGTCAATCACACATCGCTACATCGCTAGAAGACATTGAATAATCTACGCTCCCTCCAGGATTTAAGAGGTGGACTATGATCTACCTGAGCAATCGTTAATCATCCGCACTGTTTCGAGGTTAAAATTCCAAACTAAGAAGAATTAAACAGGTGGTTCCGCAGGGTGGTATCGAAACTCCCCCAGCCACCAGAGGGAATCTCCATCACCTTGTACGCTGATGATTGCACGATATTAACGTCGGGCAATAGAATCGATGTCATGTGCCCAAAAGTATACGGCTATCTCTCCGACCTTTCTCGCTTCTTCTCTGCAAGGAGCTTAACACTCTTCCCACAAAATCCACAGCGACCATATTCACTAACTGGACGAAGAAGTACAGACTGGATCTCAACATTACAGACGGTGGCTTACCAATTCCGACGGTTAATAACCCTAAGAACTTCGGTGTAACATTTGACAGCCTGTGCTCCTTCACTCCTCATACGACCGCGATAATTGCCAAAGTACAGAGCCGCAACAAAATCCTCAAGTCGCTTGCCGCTCATGGGGAAAAGACAGGGAAACGTTGTTGGCAACATACAATGCAATCGGCTAACCGGTCTTGAACGACGCCGGACCGTTATAGTCGCCTGGATGTAGTGAAACGCAGATAAAGAAGCTTAGGCATGCCAGAACACTGCACTCCAAACTATCACGGGATGCCTCTTGATGTCTCCGGGCAAACACTTACACAACGAGGCCCGTATGCTTCCGGTTAAGGAACACAACAAACTCCTCTCCAAACAGCTTCTGCTGGGATGTTTTCGCAAAAACCACCCCTGCAGTCGTCTGCTTGAAGCGGAACCGTTACCTTGGAACAACAAGAGGTCCTCCCTTGACTACGTCGGCCACATTGAACAGTACACCGACCAGACTTCGGACGCAACAACAGCACAAACAACTTGAAAACTATTATTATATCATTTTGAGTATTATACAATAGTTGGACCAATTAGATTATAGTATTTTAATCTTGCAGCAAATTGACACCAAAAAAGGTATGTATGAAAATACTGCTGTAAAACAAAAGGCGCCCATCGTAGCTTAGTTGAGGTAGCTTGGATGCTGAACACACCAAACAATTATTCTTAATACGCCTAAAATCCATTACGAAAAATTGGAAAAATTCAGTAACTAAGCAATGCGTGGTACAATAGCAAAATAGAAAATAATATATCATCATCATCAATAATGACGCAATTGGAAAGTATTCTCGTTGAAATAGGTTGTGAGGAGGCATGGGAGCATACCATATTCATTAATTGGTTAAAGAACAAATATCACAAACATAACAACAATAAAAAAAGAACACAACCAACTAACATGTCCACACGAGTTTGATGACGATGTATTGGCAATAGAAGCGGCTAAAAATATCATCTACTCGGGGCAGTCAAAAAATGGCGACGAACCACCACCACATTTCGGCATACATACTTGTATTCAAAATTCAAGATCAAAATTGAGTACGCAATATTCTCATAAAAATATGAATAATTTGCACAAGCAAAACAAAAACATGAGAAGAGTAAAAGTAACAAAAAATGTTTCTAGGGAATACGCCGTCGTTAAAGAGAACTATAGGTGGAAGAAAGGAAATAGAGCAAAAAATTTATGTCGTATTCATTAATGAAATAAACAGATTTAATAAGCTCTCGGTTACTAATTTTGTACAGAAGCATTTAGCCGAAACATTTCACTAACTCAGAAGTGCGCGATCTGTCTTTGAATGAGGATCTTATTGTAAATGGCTGCGTCGCGGACGAACTGAATAATACGCGTTTTAATCTCAAATCTGTTGTACTTTCCGCTCAGGAAATGTCCATTTTAAATGTAGATACATAGTTGCCGACTGAATTGACTTCGTCGATTGTTACGAACAAATACCCTCATCCAAACACGGAGCAGTGCATGTGTATAATGGGTCGCAATATATAAAAGCTGAAAACATTTTCGTGGTTGTATATAGTGACGTTAGTGATATTCTCCTAATAAATGGAGCAGTGCAGAAATCTTTAACTAAATCACAACATTTGATTGAAGCTAATTATTTAGTTGAAGATGCTACCATTGCAATGACCCTAACAAAAGTTGAGGAACAAACAAAAAAATCTACTGATAGTGCTTCATATCAGTTGGATCTGAATTTGAACTCATTTTACAATCAAGGATTCTCCAATGAAATGAAATTCAAAATGAATGATAGTACCAATAATAAGACGAATGTTATGATGAGAACATTAGACGGTAAAATTCAAGATGAAAATGAGCTAAAGCCGATGGCCGTACCGATTGGCAGTGGCGTTTTATCGGCAGCGGTGGATATATCGAAATTGGCCAATTTCGGGAAGCCGCGACGAGAAAGTAGTTCGTTAAACCTTTCTCGGTCTTGCGTATCTCTTGATGCACATAGTTCAGTGTTACCTTCACGTACAATTCTTCGGCGGCAGAGGCGCTTACAATCCCAGGATACAGAAGACAAGCAAGAGGATTCAATCGATAGGTTGAATCGTTTGCGAGCCCGAATATCGGGAGCACTAAGTGAAGTGAAGGGGGTATTAAAGCATTATAGCACCGATGATGGTGTCGAAACCGAACAACCAAAAAGTAAAACTGACGATGCCTTAGTAAAATCCGAGACTCATCCAACTGTAACCCCAATGTTAACTACAAAAAATGATGCTCCTGTGAGCTTTCGTTTCGTTAAAAGAGTAAGACGACGGAGCACCTTTAGTGAAGATGATGTCGGTGAAGTTAAAAAAGAAATAGTGAAAGATGTTACAGAATATATACATAATGATGAAACTCATAGTTGCTTACTTTCAAAAAAAGATGAAGTATTAGAATCAGATGCAATACATATAAGAGCTGCAGCTTCTTTAATTCGTCCAGAGATTATACTTCAAAATGACGATAAATCAAATGAAAAATCTGATTTCGCAAGACTTTTATATGTTAATAATGTGAAACAATGTTCTTCTAAAAATATTGGAGATTACACTAATAAATCAAAACATAAAAATCAATTTGAAACTAGTCGTACCGGTACCAATGATAACGATAAAGGAGATCCTGCTTATTTGAATACGTTGGAGCAAAATAGTAATAATGCATATCCAATCGATAAAAAGTTAAAAAATTTTGATTTCGATGAAAACCAAATACCAGTAAAAGAAATTGAAAATCATCTAAAAAGTTTTGTAAAATCAAAATCTGTTACTCGTCGTGCCTCAATTGCTGCTGTTGAAAGTTCCCGTATTGATCAACCAATTAAGCAAGCCATTCCTATTGCAGTTAATATAGAAAGAAGACCTTCTGATTCTGAGACGGTGATCAAAAGAAAATTAAAAACTGCTGGCAACTTTACATTAAATGTAAAAGAAAAGGTTACCAAAATGAAGCGTTTGCCCGTGAAAAATAAAACCGGTGAAATAATGAAGAATGAAAAGACTCTAGAGATAAATCAGTACAATAAAAGTTCTGAAGAAACTTCTTCAAACTCCACAGAGGAAGCCGCAGTTGTGAAAGCAACAACTAATGTGTCTGTGCCAGACAACTTAAATACATTGTCTACACAATTAGCTATTACAATCGCAATAGATGACACATCAATAAGTGCCGAAAGGCCAGACGACATGAAAAGCGAGGCAATGCAGCCACTATCAATGACAACAAACAACTCGTGGCCGACAACGAATTTCGTCGATGGGGACGGTGTAATGGTGACCGCGTTAGTAAATTCATTGCAGACTGTCGAAGCAAGTAGTCATACAAAACACGTAGAGACGCAATCGTCAAATGCTCTAATTGAAAGTGTAAAAGTGGTTAAACCCGTAATTGAAAAAGTGGAGAAGCACAGCATAGATGATATTCAAATAGAAATTGAGACAACACCAACCTATTATGCAGATACTCAACAACAGTCTAGAGCTGATGGTAATTTACAAGTAGTCAAAAATTTAAAGCTATTGGAATGTGTAGATCATTTTAAGGATACTGAACAACTAAAAGTAAAAACTGAAGAGACAGATTCTATTTTCAGTGGTATCAATAAATTTCAAAACTCAGAATCATCGCCAACGGTCAATATTCCAATTAGCGATAAAATGCCAGAGTTAAAAGTAACTCCTATACCATTTAAGCCGCTGCATGTTTTTGCAGACAACAATGCTGATAAAATAAATAGTCCTACAACGAACCCAACAGTCAATCAAATGATTTGTAATATCTCAGTAGATGAATCCCCTGAAATAACGAAAATGAATAACAGTTCAAGCACAAAAATTGAAGAGTCTGAAAAAGTCGAAATAAGTGACAATCAGCTTTCGGGTGGCATTTTAATTGAGAATCCATCATATGCAGGTGAAGAAAATACTTTAAGTAACGCCATTTCAATTACAGCAGAGTGTGCTTTTGAGGAGGCTGTTGCTCCACTACAACTCAAAAAGTCACGAAAAGTAAAAAAGAAGGTAATAATAAAACGACAGCACCGAAAACTGTCGGTGAGTGAGAACACTTTCTTCAAAGATACCGAGCAACCAGATATTTTACCAGCCGCTACTGAAACTTTAGAAAAAACAATAGCCTATGTAACAGATGATGAGGACGACATCGCACTTCATGAAGTGAAACCCGTCATGCCCATAAAATCTTGCATGAAGGCACGCGAATTTCAAGTGGGTGATTGGGTGATGTATGGAGAGCGTTTTCGTAAAACTCAAATTCGTTGGAAGAGAGGTCAAATTTCTGAGCGCATTACAAGTATTTCTTATAAAATTAATATCGATGACAAAGAAGTTTCGGCTCATATTAGCTACATTAAAAAGTATACTGGCCGACGGGTGAATTTCGGTGGCAAAGAATATCTGGAAATCGATTATGAGCAGATAGCGGAAGAAGAGCGTCGGGCGCATTCTTATAGTATTTGGAACATGGTTTAAAGGTCAGGAACCAGAAGTCATTCATACATATTGTAGAACCAAACTATTATATAATCGTTGAGACCAAAGACTCCTTACGGACGGATATGTATATACTGTAAAAATCTTGTATATATTATTGCAGAAGAGAAATGATATCACCTTTCCGTTTTAATTTGTATTTCTAACGCATTCAATTTACGTTAGTGCTTATTGCCAAATCGTTTTGTAAATAGTCTTGTTTTTATTTCGCATAAATTTAATTTAGATTGTAGAATATATTTTGTTGTTCATTTAATATTACAATGCGATTATTCATTCATCAATGTAAATAGTACGTATTAGTAGGACTTTACAAGTAATGGATATGCGTGCACACAAAGGCCGAAAATAAAATAATCTCTATTGGATGAGAAATGTAGTATAGTAAAAACCGTAATTTTTTCAGCTTCAAAAACAAAAAAAATTCTTGTAAATATTAAAGTCTGAATTTATGTAAATAAAATATATTTCAAACAAACAACACTATGCCCTTTTGCTTATGTCTTTTATCTGCTTCACAGTATAGTCTGTATACCATATGTATGTAGCATTCCATTCTCGGATCACTGCGACCTGCAAAAGTTTTGAAAAATGTAAATGTAATCTGATAAATTTAGTTTATCTGTAACCCATGAAATCATATTTAAATAACACATGCAAAGTGCGATTTATAACAAGAAAATACTCAGATGAATGAAATCAAATGAATATGTATTTATGTACGCGGTCAACATACCGCCGACCATGGCCCCAAATCAGAACTATATTTGGCGGACACTGTGCTGCGTGGCAGCCGTTGGGTGCGAGCGGTAAAACGGTGAAAATTGAACTAGCAGTGCAAATCGGCACAAGTGGTCAAGTTCGAAATTACTTTTAGCTAAAAATATATATTCACTCTTACAATGAGAGCCGAACAACTTTGTACATATACATATATGCAATTCATTTGATATATTATATGAAAATAAATTTACAATTGTCTCGATTCACGATAGTCATTTACTATTTTTTTTAATTCGCAAACATATATACTTAATATGAATACATGCATACATGTTCGTCATATGCCAATTTTCTTCAATAACATTTGAAGTTACTTTTTGTTTAATACCATCATCAATATACAAGGTTTGCTCAAAGGAAAAGCTGAATTTTGAATTTTTTAAAAAGTACTTATTTATTCATCAATATCTCTTTTGTCCCCTTTAAAGTAATCCTCCTCAGACATAATACACTTGTGACAAAACTCTTTCTGTTTATTGGTTTCTTCAGTTGTGGGAATAGGAAAAAGTCGCAGGGAGCCAAATCTGCTGCCGTGGTTGAAGCATGGTTACGGTTTTGTTTTTGACCAAAAAATCACGATTAATGCGAAATTGGTTTTGCTCAAAATTTAGAATTACGGAACAAGCTTCGCTGCCACATGTTTTATGCCCAAAACATTGTCTGTAACTTCGCTAATAGACATTTCGACGATTTTCAAGAACAATTTCTTTCACTGTTCCGATGTTTTCTTCGCTTGTTGACGTGGTCGCACCTCCAGAATGCTCATCGTCATCAACATCTTCTCGGCCTTCTGTAGATCGCTTGTACCACTTATAAACACTCTTTTGAGACAAAGTGGACTCACCGAATGCCACAGTCAACATTTCAAGTGCCTTGGAGCCCTTTATTCCATTTTTTAAAGGTCAAAAATCGAAGAGCATACAAAAACGTAACTAACCTTTTCTGTTGTCAAAAACAAACTACTAATCGAAATTTGCTCCTAATGCAAGCACATGATAAACATATGTGTCCGATTATAAAAAAAAAAAAAATATCGATAATCGAATGTAGACAGCCCGCGAAAAATCAAAATTCACCTTTTCCTTTGAACACACCTCGTATATGAAAGTATGTACCTACTCTGTTCGGAATGTACATATGCATGTATGTATGTATGTTTATATCATTGGTGCTTACACTTCACCAAAAAGATTCTCTTTTGTAGTATGCCCATTAATGTTTTGCGATAAATATGTTAGTAGAGGGATAATAAAAGTGTTAATAGGAGATGTTTTTCGTGTCGGCCGGTCCTACGTTCGAATCTACTTGTATGGTAGCAAGCACTATTATACCATTGTAGGAAGGTCCCTGAAACGCATTAAACTAATTCGACCCCATTGTACTAACTACTAATATATGTCGGCTTTCTTTGAAAACATTGCATGGATTTTCTATATTTCCGAATTGGATTGGCATGGTATTTGCGGAAACTTTACCGTTGGTTATTACATATGTACATATGTATATACCAATGATGATCACAGCCCAATAGGGTAGTAACTTTCGTGAATAAGGTCCATATGGAAACGTTTGCAGACATTGACTTGAGTACAGTTAATCAAGGGTGCTGTAGAATCTGATAGTTGTCGGAATTGATAAAAAAATGTAGTAGGTGTCATGAATTCAGATATTAGTGGTTTGACGTTCGAAACAGAAATTGTATCGGTTTTGGGTGTCACGGAAACCAATTTTATCGGTTTTGTTATCAGAAACAAAGCAACAGAATAGTCGCTGACAGATTTGAAATGTAAGTTAAGAAATTAATTTATATTATTGATACAATTTAATTTAACTTTATTTCTATAGGGGAAAACATAAGAATAAAACACAAAATGTCATAATTATTGAGTTTATGGAAAAAATACAGATATTTTAACAGGATTTACCAAACGTAATAAACGTAATTTAACACCCACATGCGTCGTTATTCAGTCGTTAATGTAAATCTGCAAAGTAAGCAAGTAGATACATATGTACAAGCATACAAGTAAATGAAAGCTAAATTTCACTTATGATTCCCCTGGAGCATTAAGTGCTGGGATCTGTTAATAGTTTTCTTTTCATTTTTTCATTGCTTTCTTCTTCCAATATTTTCATTTGCAAGTTTTGTCACATTATTAAACATCTGATTCGAATATTGGTTTTGCGTATGTTCGAAAATCCGATCAGATTCTGTAACACCATTGAAAATCAGAATTGGTTTGCAATTCTGACAACTAAGTAAATCTGTCTTTGGTTTTCAAAACGCCCCTGAATAAGTTTTTTCCTAAGTAGAAGCTACTGAGAATATTTATGATATTATCGTTTTTTTCAGTGATTAACTGCCTTGGGTCTGCGGAAATTAAAATTAAGTCAATTCTTATTTGACTTCATCATACACAATTTTTTATATTTTATTATTATTATTTTATATAGAAGGAATATAAATAATAGAGAAAAGTAGATAGAAGATGTATGAAAAGCAATATGCATTCGATTGCACTCGAAAAAGAAGAAAATGGTAAACTTTTTAATGCGCGCGCTAAATCTTTAGGAACAAAACGTATATAATTCTTAAGTAATGCTGATCGTAACCTCATTTCACCTACGATATACCAATAAATATATCATGAAGTTTAGAATTCTTTGCTTTTTCTTGGGCGATTTACGTATGTACGTATTTTTAAGTTCTCTGGCTAGTAAAAATGATAGAGGAGAATTCGAAGATTGGAAATATTTTTCAACTAAACTATTTTACTACTTTTATATTCACAAGTATTCGCATAATGGCAATCTTTTTACGAGGACGTATTTGATTAATAATATTAATTTTTTTAAGTTCACTATATAATAAAACATGTAACCTTTATTTTAAAGATAAAATGTACAAACAGACGTTTACAACGTTGCTAGATAGAGATAAAAGTGGTCAACGTCTATATACGACAATCTATGGTATATAAGAGTACGTAAGTATGTAAACATGTCTGTACGTATCAACGTATATATGTATCAAGTTAATTTGTCTACATTCATGAATTTTTAGTAATACACATGCTCTTGTACATGTACTAAGTGCATATACACTATTGAATATATGTAGGTACATACATACATATATACACCTTGTATAAATATATATAAATAGACATATTGTTATAAAGCAAGTCTAATAGCAAACACTCGTGTCCTCTGTCGTTTACTTTTTCAAGAATGTTTTGTTGGATGAGGCACACATTTTTGGGATTTTTTTGAAAAAACAAAAAATAAAAAAAATATAGGAATAATATACAAAAATTGGTGCCAAGTTTTGCGAAAAATGTATGTGAACCACTGAAAATTGGCACATTCGTGTATACAGTACTGATAAGAAAGAGCATTTAAAAGGTAATGCATATCAAACGAATACATAGCTCTATATTCAGCACAAGGAAGCTGCAAAAAAGTTGTAATTCTTCCTAATTGTATTTATTTTTTAAAATGTTCTAAATAATTTCACCACAAAATGCAGGCAAGTTAAAAACGGTAAGCTCGTTTGTATAATCTCAATTCATAGTTTTTCAAGCTGAAAAGCAGATTAACAGTAACAAAACTATCGGCTGATGTAACTTTACAAACGTTGTGTTGCAGATCTTATATAATATGTATCTAACTACAATATAATTCAGTAACCTTTCGAAATAGGGATGTTATTAAGGTTTTCCAACAATGCTAGCTTTTCATGCCATTTGGACTTAAGAGTATCAGCAGCTCAACGTTGTAAAGATAAAATGCAAAAGTCTTACATATATTCCAATCTAGTTCCCAGTCACTGAGGATGGAAAATTTTTTAAATAGTTCGAAACACAGCTGGGAAGAATTTAACGGCTTAGAGTTTAGTCGCATGTTAATATAGCGTTACTCGCACAAAGGAAATTATAACAGTATATGAGTGTAGAGAATGTAGATTATGTTACATCTATTCATACTTTGATTTATATACTATACAAACTTACTTTACCGAAACATGTCCCCTATATTTCAATCAAATATCTCATATATTAAGCGATATACATACATAAACATATGGAATAAAGTCAACCGAAGATGGAAGTTGGCGTTTGTTGCACGATAATGCGCCGTCCCATCGATCGACGCTTGTGGCCGAGTATTTGATCAAAAATCACATTTTAACAATCAACCACTGCCCGTATTCACCTGATATGACACCGTGCGACTTCTACCATTTCGGAAAAATGCATTTGCCGATGAAAGGAAAGCGTTATGCAGACGTGGAGGCCATTCAAAAGGCTTGCACCGGCATACTGGCGGCCATAACGGGGCAACGAGCTAAAACACTCGTTCGACATGCTTTTGGACCGTGCAAAAGCCTGTAGTAAAACAGGAGACTATTTTGAATAAAATTAATTGATTTTGCCGATAAAACCATTTGTTCTGTTTTTTTTTTTTAAGTCTTGTTTATTTTGGAACGCACCTTGTGTTTGCAGATATTCATTTTTATATACATATGTAGATAAGGGCCGATACATGTTGGAGTTAATATTTCAGCAAAGTTTTATTTCGATCTTGTTTCACCATCATTTGTGTTTGTATATTGAACTTGCCTTTCAATACATTACCAACGAATGATTGTGCCAAGATCAACATATTTAAATTTTTACTTAAATTATCGCTTGCACAGACAGGCCGAATTATGTAACATTGATACATTTATTGTAGTATGACGAACTTTACCCATAAAAACATTTGAATCAAAAAATAAATTATAAGTTATTTCTATCTTCTTTGCTTGTTTTGCTCAATTTTCTTCCCTTTGTAATATCATTTTCCGTCAAACGCGAACCAAAAAAAGTAGCGTAACGAAATTGTCGTAATCTCTATTTCTAAAAGAGCATAAACAATTGCTAACGTGAATGATATATACTACATCACAAGAATAGAAAAAAAAGTCGTTTATATTACACAAAATATGGTATAGCACAATATAATATATTGCAATAATTAAAGAGGATAAGTCGCGCTGGTTCTAAACCAAAACGAGAACTACTACTTACATTGCGGTGGCGACGATGTTTCAAGAAATATTCCGTTGAACAAAAATTATACTACGCCCTTTAAAATGCCAATACCTACCTACCTTCTTAACTTATCGATCTTTCACTATAATCTATATTCTATAAGTTTTTGTCAGCAAGTATTATGATATCCATGCATCTCTACATAGTTTCGTATTGTTTATTCCATATCATTATATAGACTTAATAACAATGTAACATAAAGAGTGATAAAATATTAAAATAAATAAAGTCGAGAAATCAAAACTGAAGGTAACTTTAAATTTTTAGGCACAATTATTTTCAAACTGAGCATAATAAAATCATAGAACATTTTAAGAATAAATGTATTAGGTATCTTTTTTACATACATATGTATTTATGAATACCGGGTTTTTGTACGCATGTACTTATAAACAGCAAAAGGAGATATTGTGTTATTTTTACAAACTCGCAAGCTAATTAAACTGAGATAATAATATTATAATAAAACAATTAAACGACAATAATAATTTGTTTAAAAGTGATCCCTCTGAAATCATATTTATACATAAGATATATATATGTGCAACAAAAAACTTTAAGCATAATTAATAATACACATATCCCTGATGTTTTGCTTCTTTGTTATTAATCTTATGTTACACAGAGTAAATATCGTTCTTTTTGTTTTTATCTCCCTGTAAAACATCTTCTTTCTCCTTTCGGAGACCTACTGATCTGCTTGCATTGTTTTCATATGCGTATTTTTAACATTTCTCAGTTTTACGAAGGTCGAGACAACTTCACAAGTTTATGACATTTACTAATGCACTTTTTTTTTAAATTAGCGGTTTATCTAATACATTTTCTATAAATATCGCAAGCAAAAATTAAAATTTTTTTTGGTCCAGTCTGGTAGTCTATGAAAAATAACATACGAGTATATATATTTATTAACAGTTTATTGATGTGGGTAAAAACCCGGGTTGGAGACGAGTTTTTCGTTGAAATATCTGTCTGGTTCTTGGCTTAGTCGTATGTCAGGCCCTATTTCGTTGCTTAGACAGTCGTAGCATCGTTGAGCAATGCATTCAGCTCACGAGTGTGTTGCACCTTAGATCCTGTAGCTGCTGAAGCACTGCATGGTCTTCCAATGTAGCTATAATAGCAATAAATAAAAGTTGGATAATTGCACAACCGTATATTGTGCAAAGGTTAAACGGGATTAAGGCAATGGTAATGAGGATACAAAGGAAATGGCAGGAAGGATAAAATCCAATAAATGTTTAGTTTTCAAATTTATGTATAAAATATATATAATAAATAAACGTTAATGATTTATGGCTCAATATCTTTATGTCGGTATGAGCATATTGAACAACTTAAAAACTATTTCCAAATAATTAATTGCCGTAATTTCCAAGTAAACAGTTCTGAATGACTATTTTCAATTTAAAGCTTTCGATATAAATTGATATTTAGATAAAATTGTACCAAATCAATTTTCAATAACATGAATTCTGAAATCAGTCTTGCTTACAAATGTATTATTCAATTTTTACATCTCGACATAAATATAGAGCATGAACCTAATAAGGAACTATATTATGGCTATGACATGTAGTTAAAATATTAATAAATGTATCTACTTTAAACATGCAAAAGTTTATATTATTGAATCAATAAAATAATGATTTAATATAATTGGAATTAATCCGTCATTCGAGATTTAAATAACCATTTTTAAGTGAAATTACACCTAAATACGTTACATAGTGTTCTTTATAAAATGGAAATTTATGTTTTTTACGATTATGATTTGATTTGTGAGTAAAATGGCATCCCAATGGTTAATGGTCACTATATAAATTCTATAATGACTTCTCATAAATATATAGCTCTAAAGCGCGATTTTTTTTATAAATTTTATATTTTATGCGTATGTCTGTTTCAAAATATTCATAAAAACATCGAATCGTCGCCGCTCATGACCACATTTCACATTTCTAAAGTAAGTTACTCGCTGCTCGGTAATACGAGTATGCTACGAATATGATACATTACATTAGATTATTTATTTGTTAAAATTATATTTAGTTTGGTAATGAATAGCAGTGCACATACACAAATATTGCAAAAACACAGATTAAGCAATAAAATGTGAAAAGATACAACGGACGCGTTTGCAATTTGGGGGACATTCGTTAAACAGAAACACGAAAACTAAATATTTGGGATTTAATGGTTGGTAACTTGAATGCATGAAGTACATTTGTATTAAAAATATATGAAATGGTAATAATATATTACAACATTGACAATATAATATATACACTAAGATAATTTCTAATCAACTTTTCTTTACATAAACGTTAATTTCAAAGCAGCACTTGGAAATTGAAAAGATCATTTTCGCTAAAATCATATAGAAACCTTATAAATTTTTACTAATTTCGCAGTTTCAAAATGAAAGTCGAGAGGTAAAATATTATCACAAGAAAAGTGAAATTATGCCATAAAATATTTTGCTAAACCGAAAGTAATAAATTATTTTATGTAAGTTTTGATAGGAGGCATTAGAATGTGGCACATATACCCACATG